TGTAGTCTTGAACCGACCCGAGCTGCCGCCAAGTACGCAGTCTCTGACGTGCCGAAATAGAAGCCACAATCGGCTCGAAGCGCGCCCGAAGCCCTGCGCACCACGCATCCCACGTGCTGTACTGGGCGGTTTCGCAAAATGAACTCCAGGTGACGGCTGGACCCGTGGGCCCTTCCTCTTGCGACGGTGGCTCGTAGGCGCGTGGCGACGTCACGATGACTCGCCACCAGTCCATGGCGGGGCCCCTCAGCAGCGAGACGGCGTATCGGATCTTCGCTGCGTCCGACTCGACGTAGTTCGCGTCGAAAAGGACGTTCATCGTGAAGACCCACGATTGAACCGTCGGACCTCCACGCTGGCTCGGGTCGAAACAGGGCGGGCGCTGCGGCTTGAGTGGCATTGGTGCCATGATGGCGTGGTCGCCACTTGTCGCCGCAAACTCCACGTGCCGACGGGCTTCACGAGGCTCCTGCGGGCTTGGCGCGGCCCTGTTCCTCTCCATGCCAGGCATCGATTGAGCGGCGCCATCACTGGCTGCGCCTGAGCGCTGTCCCACGCTGTCGTTTTGTGTTGGTGTGCCTGATGAAATAATGATCGGCTCCTCCAATTGTGCGGGTGCATTTGCAGGTGCGTGTGGCGCTGGAGTATTCACCGTAGATTGCTGACGAGCGGAGTCGCGTTCCGCCGTGAGTGTCGCAATTTCGAGCGCCGAGTCTTCGATTTGGCGCACGAGACGGTCGAGTTGCTCCTGCGTCAGTGTCGCGAGAGTGAATTCGGCCATGGCGGGGGTGTCGGGCAAGCTCAGCGAGAGCCTCTGTCGTGGCCGTGCGTGCTTACGAGAGAGCACTACGAGCGGCGGTGCTTGTTTCGCTGAGAGACGTCTACCCCCCCCCCCCAAAGTTGAGATAGTGGGGAAGCGAAGGTGGGGGTACGGTCCGAGAAGAGATCGTAGGCTCTGAATGCCAAGTGTTACGTGTGCAATTGAGCGAGCGAGCGAGAATTGCACTATCGAAGCAAAACAAGACAGTTGAGCGAAAAGCATGAGGGCGTGTTCCTACGGCCTCATATCAGGAAACCTCGTATCAATAATGTACCGTTTGCCTGGTAAAACTAGCGAGAGGTTTTGGGTTTAGGGAAATTTTCAGTGTGAGCCTGATACGAGGTTGTCTTGATACGAGGATAGGAACACGCTCTGAGCAAAGTTATATAGCGAAGCTAGCATGGTAACGGTAATGCGGGAAATTGGCGTGCGCTACGGGCCTAGCGCCGAGGTTTGGGAAGTTGTCGAGGCGGAGGTCCGGAGCGCGGGTTACCAACCGAACCGTTAGGTTGGGTCGTGGTCGAGGCGAATATCGCGAGCGGGTAACGTTCACGGATGGGTGCCGATGGCGGGAACGGGCATGTACGCGGTAAGCAGGGACGCGAAGTAAGGAAAATCAAAATTTTGCTAGCAATTTTCAACCAGCTCAAGGGGAGGGCTCGGTCGAAATGCCTGTACCCTGTACAGAGAAAAATGACTTCGCCAGAAATTTACACTGCTCTATCAGAGTAGCTAAAATCAAACCCTGGCAAATCAGAGAATACATACCGTCTAACCCCGGATATAAGCGCCACGGCGCTTATAACAAAACATGTTTTTTTAAGGTTGGCGCTTGTAATTGAATAACGGCCATAAGCGCCGGCGCTTATATCATGGCAAAAATGAATTTGTATTTTTTTTGTATCAAATCGAAGCCCGTAATAAGGCGAACAAGATTGTGTAACGTGCGCGTGGCATCATGCATGAAAACCCGCCGAAAACTGCCGCGCTTCGGTTTCCAGCCGCACAAAGCCCGTCCAGGAGCAGCGCACCTGCCAGCGCTGATGTGAAAGATGCCTTGCGGCCCAATCAGGCTTTCATGCACTGGGTGGCAGCTGCAATTCACCCGAACCATCTAGAAGCGGCTGGAATGCCCTGCCAGCGCAGCATCGTGCGTGGCGCGATACCCTCCTCTCCGGGTTCAGACAGGGGACACCCGTCTCTCCACGACGAGGACCCCGTGGCGCTAGCCAGAAGGGGTCCCTTTGAATCCTTCATTTGTTCATCCTTTCATTCAGTTTCCCGTTCTTGGTTCTTGGCCACTCTCGCCATGCTGCGGAAGCCATGGCGGAATTCAGCGGCACGCACTTCTTGTTCAAGAAAAAGCCTACGCGCAAGCCCGCGTTTAGAGTAGACGCAGACGGGTGGTACTCCCGTGTCCCACCATCACCACCAGAGACACCACAGCCTCCTGCGCCTCCTGCGCCTCCTGCTCCTCCTTCGCCTCCTGCTCCTCCTTCACCTCCTGCACCTCCAGGCGCAAGATGAGGAGGTCGAAGTGGAGTACGTGCCTGGTTCACGGTGGGGACAGCCTGACGATTGCCCGTGGGACGAATCTGCAGTCGGCGCCGACGATGATGTTGCTGAGGAAGCTGACGCTGACGCTGAGGAAGCGAGCGGCGCTTACGCCGGCGAGGGTGGCACGGAGGCGAGCGCCGGGGGCGGCGCCGAGGGCGGCTCCGCTGAAGATGTTTTTCCAGAAGGCGTTCCCGGCGACGATGCCGACGACGGCGTGGAGTACTGGTCTCGCGACGGGCTTCCCGAGACCTTGCCGATACCTTCCTATCCCCCGATCAATCGCAAGCGACCCCACCCCTCTACCCAGAACCGTGATGCCCGCCCGCCCTCTCCCAGGCACAAGCTCACCGACCACAAGAGGCATGGTTACACCGCCGCGGAGAAGTTGAAGTGGGTTGCCAAGCTTGCTTTGGCGGTGTCGGTGCGCCAATTGTCTCGCGAGAGCGGAATCCACCCCAAGTGCCTCACCAACTGGAAGCGGGCGTCTGAATTCCTCAAGGAAGTTCATTCCGCTCGGAAGCGCATGCACGGCCGCGGGCGAGCGTCGTGGTACCGGCCTATGGAGTTGAAGGTGTACGAGAAACTTCTCGAGTGGCGCCGCAAGGGAACCGCCGTATCAGTCGGCCGCCTGCAGGAGTGGTCGCGGGAGTACATGAGGCTGCTGTACCCGGACAAGCCGTGGAAAGGAAGCCAGAGGTGGTCGCAGTGCTTTCGGCGTCGATGGAATCTGAGCATCCGCATGAAGACCCGGGTTGCCCAGAAAACCGCCGCGCGTAAGAGTTACCCTGTGTACTTTGCCCTGTGATTTTTAAATTGTTGTACTAACACCCGCCATGTGTGTCCGTCCGCCCTTCCACCGCCCTTCAGATGTCGCCGAGCAGTGCCAGAGCTTCTGGAAGTTCGTGCGTGCCAAGCGTCGTGAGCGCGGCATCGACACCGCGTGGATCATCAACGCGGACCAAACACCGCTCTGGCTGGAGATGCCCGCCACCACCACCGTGGATGCAACGGGTGTTCGCTCGGTGCCTATCAGGAGTGTGGGATATCAGAAGCAGCGTGTGACCGTGATGTTGGCGTGCACGACGGACGGATTGAAGCTGGAGCCGTGGGTGTACTTCAAGCGCAAGACCGTGCCTAAGGGCAATTTCGCACCCGGTAAGTCAATACGGTAGGTGCACTGCTAGTTAACTGCGCCATGCTTCCGACTGCGAATTCTAACTGGTCGAAAATGATCCCTGCAGATGTGGTTGTGGCTGCACAAGAGAACGGGTGGATGGACTCCGCGGGCGTCGTTCGCTGGCTTGAGGAGGGCGTCAAGCCTTTCTTGAAGCCCAAGTTCGGCAGACAAGCCAAGAGCTCGATGCTGGTGCTGGACTCTTACCGCGGTCACCTCACCCAGGAAGTGAAGGACAAGCTCCGCGAGATGAACTGCGTGCCGGCAATCATCCCGTCGGGCTGTACGGCGGAGGTACAGCCGCTAGATGTCTCCATCAACAAGAGCTTTAAAGCGTCGGTCCGCCAGCAGTACCAGAGGTGGTTTGAGGCAGAAGGTCAAGAGCAGCTGACGGCAGCAGGTATGGAATGAGCACGGTTGTGTTTACCCCCCCCCTCCCCTTGTTTACGGTATCTTTTGTTGTTTGACTAACGGGTTTCCACCGTTCTCACGTTTTTGTTTCAGGGAATTTGAAGAAGCCGCCTGCGGAGGTCGTCCTGAGCTGGATATCTCAGGCCTGGGAGTCAGTGCCGGCCGAGCTGATAAAGCGATCCTTCCTCACCTGTGGCATCAGCAACGCGCTCGACGGCAGTGAGGACGGCCTCGCCATGGCGCACAGGCGGAGCCAGCTGACAGCGGAAGTGGATGTCGACGATGACATCATCGCTGATGGGTTTTTTGGGAACAACTGCGAGGAGCCTGAATCTGACGATGAGTAGACTTGTTAGGTAGAAGTGATGTTGCTAGACTTGCTGATTCGGGTCACTGATGTTGTAGCTGCTGTCTAGAAGTGTCATGTAAGTGATTTCAATGTAATTGTTTCTTAAAAGACTTATAATAATTCAAGGGTGGCGCTTATAATAAGTACAGAAATCTCAGGGGGGGCGCTTGTAATCGAGGTCCGGCCATAAGCGCCATGCTCCAGATAGAGGCGCCGGCGCCTATTATCGGACGGCGCCTATATCCGGGGCGATACGGTATCTTCCAAAAAAAATACCCAGAATCGTCAGAGTGACCCCCCAAAAATCACCCTGATTTTCAGAGAAACAGAGTAATTTACTCTGATAAAAAACCCCTGTTTCCCATATTATTCGGTAAAAAACCACTTTCCTAAGTTCCCCACATGTACCGAAGTTGACTCGAATGTGCGATTGACGTGGCGGGCTGCAGGACTATCAGATGAGAAATGGAAAATATGAATGCACCATCATCGTCAGAAAAATCGTGAACAAACCTTGGGTCAAAAATTTTGTCCTGGGGCATGGCTGGGCAGCTCAAGCTCGTGGGTTATGGAGTGTTGTCAGGTTGATTCTGATGCATGGCAGTACTGTCATCAGAGCCAATCCACTTGGAAACCGCGAGTCACCGCTGCTACCGTAGACATGCGGCCACCCCCGCGTGTGACGGGCGTCACACGGGCTTGGTGGCGAAGGTGAGGTACCCCGTGTGCCCCTTGCTCTCCGCCACTGGCCTCGCTGCCACGTACCGCCTCTCCTCGCCCACGCTCTCCCCCACCCCCCTCTGCCGCCTGCCCACCTCCCTCCTCCCTCTGCCTGCTGCCCCTGCCTCTCCCATTGCATCACCGTCTTGTCGGCCCCCCTCCGCCCTCGCCGCTGTGCTCTGCTCCATCCCACCGTCCTCGTCACCACCCCCCTCCTCGCGGCGCCGCTTCGCTACCCGTCCGTTACTCCGCTGACCACCGTCGCCCTCGCTGGCCCTCCCATTATTCCCCTCCCCTGGCGGCTCGAGGCTCGGAGCTTCCGAGGCTGGGTGCAGGTGTGGCACGGCGAGGGCCTCCTGGCGCACGTCGTAGGTGCGGGTGAGCAGCTCCACGGTGCGGATGTCTGGCGGCGTGCGAGCGAACAAGGGAGGGCCGGAGATGAGCAGAAGAGGAGGTGGAGCAACGAGCGAGGCATGGATTGGAAAGATGCAGCGAGCAGTGGTGGGTGGAAGGGGGGAAGCGAGGGGAATGCAAGGCAGAGCGGCGTGTGGGGGGCTGGTGACGCACCGGTGAGGCCATGGGCGCGCATGGCGAGGGAGCAGCGCTGCACCTGCTCCATGCACGGCGAGAAGGAGCACACCCGCCCGCCCGCCACCAGGCACGCGGCGGCGGAGGGCAGCGCGAGCCAGGGGCAGGGCAGGTCGAGGAAGGCGGCGTGCGCGGAGGCGTGCAGGTGAGGAGGGAAGCCATCGCCCTGGATGTCCCTCACCTGCACGCTGGCCACGCCCGCTATGCCGTTGGCCTCAAACTCCGCCCTGCACAGGGGAGAGGGCGCCACACGGGTGGTACGAGGAAATGGGAGGTCAGAACGAAAGAGGATTGGAGCTCCTGAAGAATGCAGAGGAGGACGGGAGCACGCACTCCTCTCCTCGTCCTCACCCCCCTGCCACGTGCTGCGCGCCCCTGCTTCCATGGCAACCATGAGTAACCATGGCAGGCTGCCGCCATACGTGCTGTCACCCTCCCTCCCCCTCACCACCTGCTCACCTCGCCTGCTCACCTCGCCTGCTCCGCGCGGCCCTGATGGAAGTCGAAGGAGAGCAGGCGGCCGGTGGGCGCCACGGCGCGTGCAAAGGAGTGCGAGAGGCTGCCGCTGCCGGTGCCGCTCTCCAGCACCACGGCGCCGGGCGTCACGGCGAGACGTGCGATGATGAGAGCAATGTCGGGCAGGTAGAGGATCTGCGTGCGGTGTGGCAGCACCTGGTGGGGGGGAGGGGGATGGGGCACGGGAGAGGCCATTGAGGTGCGCTACAGTGAGTGTGCCGTGCTGGGCGCCCGCCGCCCTGCTGGCATGCTGGCAGCAGAGCGGACTGAACCTGCTCGCACATGCTCCATGCAGCCTGCTCGCACATGCTCCATGCAGCCTGCTCGCCACCACGCCTCACCTCACCCCACCACGCCTCACTTCACGTCGACTCGCCTCACCTAGCCTCACCACACGTCACCTTGGTCCAGAGGGCGGGCGAGGGCGCGAGCAGGTGCACAAAGCCGCCCCCCTTGGCTGCCCGCACCCGCGACCCCACGGCTGCCCCACCCACTCGCTGTGCCGAAACACTCCGAAGCTGGGGGGGGAGGAAGGGGGAGGGGGGGAGGGGATGGAGGCGAAGTGCTTAGGCGAACACTGTGGGAAGACACGACTGCGTGGGGAAAAGCAATGTGTGAAAGGGGAGAAGGAGCATGTGAGAGCAAGGCCACTTTTGTGCACACAGCTGTGCCCCCCATCCCCCTCCGCACCCCCATCCCCCTCCGCCCCTCATCCCCCTCCGCCCCTCATCCCCCTCCGCCCCTCATCCCCCTCCGCCCCTCATCCCCCTCCGCCCCTCATCCCCCTCCGCCCCTCACCCCCCTCCGCCCCTCATCCCCCTCCGCCCCTCATCCCCCTCCGCCCCTCATCCCCCTCCGCCCCTCATCCCCCTCCGCCCCTCATCCCCCTCCGCCCCCCATCCCCCTCCGCCCCTCATCCCAACTAAGCTATGCTGCCTCACATGGTCCCGCCAACTGCCCTTCCCCCACCGCCATGCCCCGCTCAGCCACCAGCCTCCCGCCACCCTCCCGCGCGCCACCTTCGCACTGACCGGTTCTGCAGGGAGCGGCCGGGCGTGACGGTGGCGATGCGCATGGCGTCCCGCGCCTCGTACACCACCACGCGCTCGCCCTCCTCCACGCGCCTCACGCCCGCCCTCCGCGGCCCCCCCACCTCCATGCCGCCGCGGAAGCTGGCGGACGGGGCTAGGCGGAATAAACTGGGCGGAGTGGGAAGCTGGGGAGCGGGCTGGGGGGCTGGGCGGAGTGGGGGCCTGGGGAGCGGAGTGCGGGGGTGTGAGCAGCGCGAGGGCGGGCGGGCGGCGGGCGTGGAGGGGGTGGCAGCTGGCCAGGGGCGAGGTGAACTCGCGCGACACGAATGAGGAGGGAGTTGGTGGAGACGCCGCGCGGAAACCTGTTCGTCACAAAAACAAGAGTCCACGTTTGACGTCGGAAGGGTTTTGTATGAGGGAATATATATTCTTAGGGGAAAATTATGCCAATGGTAACAAAAAAATGGCTCTATAACGCGTACGGTAACTATTACTGAATGTTTTCACGCGTTTGGTAACTCGTTTCACGCATTTGGTAATTCAACACAGGCGAATGATCACGCGAATGGTAACTAAAAGAAACTCCCGCCTGAAATGATTCCGACTTCAAGAAAATTGTTTTTTGAAACATATTACGCCCCGTTTGAGATTTATGAACGATTCTCGCCGTGACTTTGAAAGATCACGATTGTATTATTACCATGGACAAACATAATTTTCGATCCTTTCCATACCTCTTTTAGTATCGAACAAATAGTTCTTTAAATAATATCACAAATTTTCTGGCATGACTGCATCATTGCAAAGTGATCAAATTTTCCCGGAAAGATGACAATATTTTTATTTCAAAAATTGTGTAATTATTGTAACAAAAAAACCACAAACGCATTGTCGCAAGGTGTTTATGGTTGATGCTCTCTGGATCGCTTGCCATCCGAAAAGGGTGTATATTTTTTGTCCTGGTTGTATTACGATATAATTTGGTAAAAACAATGTTTCAAACAAGCGCTGAAATATTCAATAATTGTTTCCAAACGGTTTCAAAAAATTACTTGTGCGTAAATAACCCGGATTTCGGAAAGTGTGTCAGAACTTGGTGCGTCAGGATTCGTCAATAAAGTCTGGCGTGAGCGGGAAAAACCAGAATCAGTGTCGCTTTGGGCAAGGGTTTCTTTTAATTACCCGAATCGAGTGATCGCTTGCCAGTCTATAGTTACCAAACGCGTGAATCGAGTTACCAAACGCGTGAAAATACAATGTAACGGTTACTGTACGCGTTATTGAGCCACAAATGTTACCATTCGCATATTTTCCCTATTCTTAGTATAGAAAACGCTGTGAGGGACTGTATGGAAATTGATTGCTAAGTACTTCCCGTATACCATATGTCAAACTGTTATAATGTTTATATTGTGTAGGCTGTAGTGGGGTAGCCCATAAGGGGTACAACCCAATTAGGGTTAGTATTTGTACCCACTTTGATCTTAGTTCATTCATCCTCGTTCAGTGTCTTGACATGGTTTCAGAGCAGGTCCTGTTCCAGGACCGATTTTTTTAGGGCCCACCGATTCGTTAGCTGCCCGTAGCGCCCTACCCCACCAGTCGTGCTGCCCTGCCCTGCCCTGACCGTCGCGCTGCCCTGCTCGCTGCGCGCCGCCCTGCCCTGCACGCGCGCCGCCTTTTCCTGCCCGCGCGCCGCCCTGCTGGCCGCGCGCCGCCCTGCTGCCCGCGCGCCGCCCTGCTGGCCGCGCGCTGCTCTGCCCTGCCCGTCGCGCCGCCCTGTTAGCGCCGCGCCGCCCTGCCCTGCCCGTCGCGCCGCCCTGCTGGTCGCGCGCCGCCCTCCTCTGCCCGTCGCGCTGCCCTGATAGCGCTGCGCTGCCCTGCCCTGCCCGCGCGCCGCCCTGCTGGCCGCCGCGTCGCCCTGCCCTGCCCGCGCGCCGCCCTGCTGGCCGCCGCGTCGCCCTGCCCTGCCTGCGCGCCGCCCTGCTGGCCGCCGCACCGCCCTGCCCAGCCCGCGCGCCGCCCTGCTGGCCGCCGCACCACCCTGCCCAGCCCGCGCGCCGCCCTGCTGGCCGCCGCACCGCCCTGCCCAGCCCGCGCGCCGCCCTGCTGGCCGCCGCCCTGCCCTGCCCTGCCCGCGCGCCGCCCTGCTGGCCGCCGCCCTGCCCTGCCCTGCCCGCGCGCCGCCCTGCTGGCCGCCGCCCTGCCCTGCCCTGCCCACGTGCCGCCCTGCTGGACGCCGCACTGCCCTGCCCTGCCCGCACGCTGCCCTGCTGGTCGCCGCCCTGCCCTGCCAGTTGCGCCGCCCTGCCGTAGCCGTGCGCCGCCCCACCCTGCCCTGCGCGCTTCCCTAGCGCTTGCGCGCCGCCCTGCCAGTCGCGCCGTCCTTGCTTGCGTGTTGCCCTGTTGCTCGCGCGCCACCCTGCTCTGCCCGCTATAGCTACTCTCAGCGTCCTCACATTCGATCCTGAGGGCCGTCCGATCCAGTTCGATACGCGGCTCGATGACTTACAGCTGTTCCTACTGAGCGATTCTAGAGACGGCGTTTTGTTGTTTGACCTCACGTCTGGAGCCTCTCTCGCCCCTCCCGACACAATTGACAGTGCGACTCGCTCACAGTGGCCAGCATAAGACTGCTAAAGCCCTGTACGACGCTGTAGTCGCTCGTTACTCCTCCCCTGCCACTGCTGCTCTCGGCCGCCTTATAATGCCCTACCTTTTTCCCGAGCTGTTCGCCTTTGCTACAGTCGACGACCTCATCACCCACCTTCGTACTAGCGACACTCGCTACCGCGCCGCGCTTCCAACCAAGTTTCTAGACGAGAACCCTCCCCCCATGTACATCACTCTCTACTTCATAGTCACCCGCCTCCCTGACCCTCTTAGCGCAGTCAGGTGTCAGAATATTATGCTCTAGCCTGTAGTGGGGTGTTCTATAGCGAGTACAACCCTTCTAGGGTTTGCTATTTGTATCCTCATTCTTGCTAGTGCAACTCCTCCTTCTTTGCCTAAACTGTTTCTTGCCTAGCTAGGGCTTTCCTAGCTATGGCGCCTTCTTCTACTGCTTATCTTCACATGGTATTAGAGCGATATGCTCCTGGCCTGTGGGCCCCACCTCACTGCTTCCGCTGCTACTGCTACTCCCTGTCCGCCGCGCGCCCCGTGGTGCGCGGCGTCGAAATTAGGGTTTTTCAGCCCGCCGTGCGCCCCGAGGCGCGCGGCGGTTTTCTGCCCGCCGTGCGCCCCGAGGCGCGCGGCGGTTTTCTGCCCGCCGTGCGCCCCGAGGCGCGCGACGGGTTTCTGCCCCGTCACTCGGCGCGTCGCCCCCAGGAGGCGCTACGACGGGCGACGGGGACCCGCGCGTCGCCCCCCGTCGCCCGTCGTGGCCTGCGCGCGGCCCGTACAGCCGGCGCGCGGCCCGTACGGGCTGCGCCAGGCCCGCGCGCGGCCCGTACGGGCTGCGCCAGGCCCGCGCGCGGCCCGTACGGGCTGCGCCAGGCCCGCGCGCGGCCCGTACGGGCTGCGCCAGGCCCGCGCGCGGCCCGTACGGGCTGCGCCAGGCCCGCGCGCGGCTCGGGCCGCCTGCGCGCGGTTCGGGAGGCTGTGCCAGGCCCGTGGGCGGCCCGTTCTTCGCTGCCCCTGTCCTCCCCGCTGTCCCCCGTGCTTCTGAAGGCGCCCCACCCCTCCTTCTGCCCGTTCTCCTGGATTAGGGTTTGGGGGTGGGGAGTATGGGGGTGCAGCTTCTGTGTGCCGTTCCCTGCTCCTCCTCCTCCTCCGTCTCCCTGTGCTGCAGCTGCCGCTGAGGGGGGGTGGACCTGTTGGAGCCGTCGGAGTGGTACTAAGGGAGGGTGAAGGGGGAGTGGAGCTAGGGGTGAAGCAGGGGGTGTGTGTCAGGGGGGGTGGTACTGTTTGAGGGAGGTTGAACGGAGGTTGCCGTCGTGTCGCCAGCAGCACCTGTAGTCCGGGGAGTTGCTCCGGTAGCCCAGTCGTAGCCACCTGTGCCAGTCGCCCGTGGGTCCGTTGCTCGTCTGCCGCTACTTTTAGCCGCGGGGCCAGTTACTCCAGTAGTCCGGAGCGCTGTTCCGGTAGCCGCTGTGCCAGTGTGCCTCCTGTTGCCCGTGTGTCTGCAGCTTCAGCCGTCGCCTCCTATCTCCTCTCCTCTCACTGTCCCTCCTCCTCCTCACTTGCCCGTTGTGACTACCACTAGCTTTGCTCATAATTGTGAACTTTAAACTATTGCTTCCTGAACTTGTGCTCAGAATGTGTGGTGACATTGTGATCCACCCTGAGCTTGTTCTGCTTTGCTTGCTCTGCTGATTACACCCCACTTTGGCTATGGGGGTGTGTCAGAATATTATGCTCTAGCCTGTAGTGGGGTGTTCTATAGCGAGTACAACCCTTCTAGGGTTTGCTATTTGTATCCTCATTCTTGCTAGTGCAACTCCTCCTTCTTTGCCTAAACTGTTTCTTGCCTAGCTAGGGCTTTCCTAGCTATGGCGCCTTCTTCTACTGCTTATCTTCACATCAGGGACCTCTTGCTCGCCATGGACCCCACAGACCTCACTGTCGACCTGCTCGAGAAGCACCTCCTAGCAGCTGAGGCTAGCATAGTCGCTGTAGGTGCTGCTCGTGGCACTCCTCGCACTCCCTTCTTTGAGGGGTGTTCCCCCTCCCCCCTTGCCCCCTCTTTCGCTTTTGTTGCTGCTGTTGACTTCCTTAGTGCTGAGGAGGTCGGGGCTGCGCCTGCTCCTAGTGGGAGGCGCCGCAGCGGCAAGGGCAAGGGAGGCAAGGGTGGTGGGGGTGGCAGCGGTGGAGGCGGTGGTGGGGGCGGTGGAGGCGGTGGAGGTGGCGGTGGTGGCGGAGGGAGTGGTGGTGGGAGTGGAGGCGTTGGTGGCGGCGGTGGTGGAAGCAGTGGGAGCGGTGGCGGCGGCAGTGGTGGCGGCAGTGGGAGTGGTGGCGGCGGCGGTGGTGGCGGTCGGGGTGGAGCCGGTCAGAGGGGAGGTTCTGGCGGTGGTCAGAGGCAGCAGCAGCAGCGTCCGCGTGAGACCCCTACGCCCTAGGAGCTTCGTGAGTGGTTTGCTCAGCGTGGGGCGTCTGGGGGTGGTGTTCGCTGCCAGTACGTCATTCG